AGGACATTCAATCTGCCTCTTCTTTCTGGGACCAAGCAGACTGTAGGGTTCCCTATGGACTCTCACCACGATTTGACTGAATTTTTTAACTATCTATGTTTGTCATTTTTTTTTTCTTTTTTTCATGAGCATATGTGCAAATAGTGAGGCTTCGATGATTTTTTAATAAGAAGGTAGGATGACTGCTTTACTCTATAAGGTACACTCTTGTCATGTAAATGTGCCAGAAACACTGATAAATTTCTCCAAGGCAAATATTTTTTCAATGGTGTAAGATGAGCAAAATAGTCTACATCACTTTAGCTTTTAGACCCTTGTATGGAAATATAAAATAAACATATGAGGGTAAATTGGTGAAAGGAAATGGTATGGCCACATTCCTTGCAGTCAGTCTAGCTATTACTAGAAGCAGTCATGTAGTGGTATGAGATCCACAGGGTAACTGAGTGCTTCAGTGCAAAGATTTTAGGTAGGCTAAATTGACAATAATATCATATCTGTGCTGCCACTGTCTTTGCTGTCAATTAGATAACTGTAAAGATCATCCAGTAGTGAGTCCAGTGTACTGTGAAATGCAAGTTGTTTAACGAAAACTAGAACACAGTAAAACTATGCACGTAAAATAAACTTCCAAGTGATTATAATGAAAATAGAACCTGACCATAAATATATAACATGCCTGTGAGAACAAGGGTACCACGATGTGACCAAATATCCAAGAGATGTTTATCTCCCATAATTCAGCAGTACACAGCATGCACAACCACATGCTGACGTGTGCATGCAAAAAACCAGGCATGCAAGAATCTACTTTAGGTAGCTACAAAATAAAAAAGGCATTTCATTGGAACAACTCCTTGATCTGCCGGAGTAGTTCAGGAAATGTAAATGTAAAGCATACTGGCAAACCTTGCAGGAAAAGCAGGGGAGGAGTGGTAAAACAGGAGTATGGCACGGGGGGAATAAAACAGAGCAGATACAGTTAACTTAGAGAAGCACGTGCTACATACTAGAGGAGTGACCAACTAGTGTCCCTGAAATCCATGCACATGGGTGAGGATTTCAAACTCTCTAAGGGCAAAAAAAAAAAAGTTATGAAAATCAAGTTAAAGGTTTCTACTAAAATAGAACCTTTTCTCCTACCAACAAAACACAAAAATATGAATAAGAATATTAAAATTATTACTCAGAACAAAATTCAGGGATATTAAATAACTTATCAAATAAATTGAATAGACTATATCCATGAAACTACACAAAAGAAAGTCAGTGGCCTTCTGTATCATAAAAGCTATCTTGGACCTCAGAAATACCAGTGCTAGTAGAAGAATAGAGGTGCCAGTCAGAACTGGTGTGTCTCAGTATCTCTTAAAAACCAAGCTTTCCTCTTTAGGTTTTAAAGTTTTAGAAGTAAAACTTGCAAAATTAACCCTGGAAGAAATACATATTAATTCTTCGTTTACAGGCAGCCAAAAGGAGTACGAAGCAATTCGGACAGAGTTATTTGTTAGTGCTGAGACAGTACTGCCTGTACTTGGCTGAGAAACCGTAGTCCAGGGATAAATAAGATCAGAAAATCTATCTTTTGGAGGAAAGGTG